TTCAACACAAGCTGAAAAAGAGACTCAGCGTGGCTGCAGCTTGTTGCTATGTCAGCTTAATCACATGCCGGTCATGCGTTTTGGAGATGCGGCACACAGTGTGTTAATAACACTCACCATCATTCCACCTTCAAAGTGTTAATGCTACCTTATCTTAAACCTGTCTTAATAAACAACAATATCATATGAAAAACTAGGGTGACACTAGGGGTGGCAAGAGATCATTTCAGGGTGGCACATGCCACCCCATGCCACCCCTCTGAATCCGCCCCTGGGTGGTGGAGACCTTCATCTAGAAGAAATGCTGTAAAACTTGTGAAAATACAGTTAAAAGAAAAAAATGCCCTCACTAACATCTTCTAGTGTCTCCTTAAACTGGTTGTGTTGCTTTCACGCAGAACAGTTACCCGGGGGTGTCCGTGTCCCATGATTTCTCTGTGATCTGGTCCCTGAAAGCCGCGGGTGCTGTGTGGGCAGCAGTAGCAGATTTCCGACGCTAGGGGGTGTAAAGAATAAAGGAGGGCTTTATGGAGGATTGGCTCTGACGTAAGAGACGTCGTAATTTCCACGATTCTTTTATTCGTTCAGAGAGTAGAGCAGAGAAAGCACGCCGCTCTGAGTCACACAACAGACACGCCGTGGACTCCTCGTGGCTGAGGCCGGCCTGAGCATCACAGCGACCGGCACATCAGACTGACGACAGAGGGGGCCGAGGGGGCGAGACGGGAAGCTTTGTGTGGCAGACAGAAGAGGAACCAGCTCAGCCAGCGATGTCAGGGCTGAAGAAGAGAAGCTCCAACTCGTCCGTGAACAGGGAGGAGGATAAGCAGGTCACTGAGAGGATGCTGTCCCCGGGTAGCGGCAGTGATAAGGGGGGCTTCGGTCAGGATGGAGCACCGGGAAGCGACCTCAGCAGCCCCGGCAACGTCACAGCAGGAGACGGAGCGGAGGAAGGGGTCGCCCTGAAGAGGACCATCACGCTGTTGAATGGCGTGGCCATCATCGTAGGCACCATCATCGGCTCGGGTATCTTCGTCACGCCGACAGGCGTAGTGAGAGAGGCTGGCTCTGTGGGTCTTTCCCTCATAGTGTGGGCGGTGTGCGGGGTTTTCTCCACAGTGGGCGCCCTCTGCTACGCGGAGCTGGGGACCACCATCACCAAGTCCGGCGGCGACTATGCCTACATTTTGGAAGTGTACGGCTCCCTGCCGGCTTTCCTCAAACTCTGGATCGAGCTGCTTATCATCCGGCCGTCCTCCCAGTATATCGTCGCCTACGTCTTCGCCACCTACCTCCTGAAGCCGCTGTTCCCCGTGTGCTTGGTGCCGGAGACGGGGGCCAAGCTAGTGGCCTGCCTCTGCATCAGTGAGTATCGGAGCTCAGGCACCAGTCGAGATGATGCAACTTTAGTGTGTGTGTGTGTGTGAGTGAGTGTGTGTGTGTGCCTATGCAGGCGGTTGTGGTGGCACTTCCTGTATGTATATACTATAAAAACACTTGTGCCTCGTGGGCACCTCCTGAGATAATAATGAACGACTTTGCTCACACACACAATATATAAAGCCTCATCCTATGGAGCGCGTGCGATACCGTCAGCACTCGCACACGTGCGCGTGAAGCAGCTTCCGAGGCAGTAGTGAAAAAATGCGGCGATATTACATCAGCTGCCGGGATGATGTAGGTTGCTCACAGGTTATAGGTCTTAAAAATAACCCAATTGATTGCTTTGAAATAATTCCTGGTGTTTATCATAAATAATATTTTCTGTGACGTGAGAAGCAGCAAAGATTTCAAAATAAATGCCTTCATTTTAATTTCCTAAAACTTAGATATGATAACTTAATGTAAGTTGGTTTTATTAAATCAAATGCAAGCAAATATACACCGATAGATGATTTAACCCCAGTTTTAGTGGTGTGGTTTAAAAACAAGTAATTTATCATCAGTTTTCCGTGTTGCATGTCTAAGTTAATAAACAGCCACACATTTATGATGGATGTGCAGAGAGTTTTTTATGTGCACTGGGCTGTTTTACACCTTATTTAGTCTTAAAGCAATAATTTCAGGATTATCACCTGTTTCATCACTTCATTCTTCTTTTCAAGACTTCATGGCTGCCTGAACATAAGTTTAGAGGTGTGTGTGTGTGTGATGTAGGTGGTGGTGAGGTGGTCAGGGTCGCTGCACATTCCTAGCTCCTAAAGTCTATTTTAGTGCCAGGTTTTGTTTAATTTGAGTGCTGCTGGAATCTATATAATTCAGATCAGCGTGTCTCTGTTCCCTTCAGGTTTGTGAATATACGTGTACGCGACATGCCCAAGTATTAGCCATTAGTGTGTGTTTGTGGGTCTGGATGCCAAAGTGTGTCTACCCCTGTACTGTACTTGGCCTCCTTCTCCTTTGTCCTGGTCTCTCAAATACAGAGTCTCATTGTGCCGTCTCGTCTTTCTATTGTGGCCCCGACCTGATTTAGGAGCTTTGAACAGGCCTGCTGCTTTAGTTAATCACTTCTAACAGGCTACTGCAGCAACTTTGCGTGTGTGTGTGTGCTTTTGGAGGATAGGGTAGGCACCAGCCGGTACATGGGCATTTAAAAAGACAGATGGGTACAGGAGAAAAGACTTTATTCTCTTAAAAATGTGTCACCCCTGTAACTTCTTCCTCTGCTCGCGTCATGTTGACAGCAGAACGTACAATCACACACACTCACTGTTAGGTCCCACAAGTGGAGCAGAAGAAACACATTATAGGTTAAAGTTGTGCAATTTGACTGGTTACAAGATTGGTTTCCTGTACGCGTAACACACCTGTAAGCTTTATGTGTCAGTGGCCTCTTTTACTCTGTGGTCTTATTCTCTGCCTCCTTTTCTTTCGCAGTGTTGTTAACCTTTGTGAACTGCTACAGCGTGAAGGCGGCCACCAGAGTGCAGGACTTCTTCGCGGCAGCCAAGCTTCTAGCGCTCGGGCTCATCATAATCATCGGATTTGTCAAGATTGGACAAGGTACCTTGCACAAGCACACAGATACACAAATGCACACGTCACCTCTTTGCTCTTATGCCGGCTTTATTTGCCCAACCCCCACTTTGTTTCCCTCCATCCCTCCAGACACACCTTTAACAAGTTAAAATGTAAATGACCGACATGGCTGAAGACGGGCTGAGGTAGCCACAAATATGCAAATGATACGTGCTGATATTCTAATATACTCAGGCTTGATGAACCCACTCAGTCTGTTTTTCCTCCCTCTCCTTTTCACTGGCTGTTCCTAAAAAGCAGGAGGTTTGAACATCAGGTGGGTGTGGTTTCCGTGCTCGCCGTCTGAGATGCCCACATTAAGGATTTCTGCTCTCTGTGACACCATACTGATCCATTAGCTCTTGTAAAACATTGTCCATGTTTAATAAGAGGATAGACCATCGTGACAGTGTATCAGAAAGTAATTAAAAAGCATAAAAAGGTTCCTTTAAGAGCCTGACACACATTACAAAAGTTAAACAGTAAATAACCTCCATGGTAAAATATGTGGATTTTATGAACTGTGGATTTTAATGTTCCGTTTATATTGTTATTAGATTCCCTTAAATGATTTAGGCAGTGTAGAAAGTCTTTACAGTTTGAGTTGGCACGTGATTGCATCAGCAGTCGAGGAAGTTGACGGACCAGTTTGTGTGCCACGCGACATAAAACAGGAAGTTTCAGCTGCATTTAGTCCAGCTGTGTATTCCATTCACACAGTAGCTCGCCTGCTGGCACAATCAACCCTTATGTAAGCAGGTAATCTCAGTTTCAAGGGGGAAATCCTTAAATTAGATTACTTAACTTAATGGATCTGTGTCTCCTTCACTAAGAGATTTGAAGAAGTGTTGTCGTGTACCTTTTTCCTCAAAGTCAGTCTAAGATTAAAACCAGCAAACTGACTGTGACTGTGAGGATAATTGTGTTAAAAAGAAACATGATGGCCCAGACGTATAAAGCTTTCATGTCTTTCATCGCTTGGGACTCTTAAATTGTGTCTGGATCGGCTCTCTTTCAGTTGCTGTGTTCTCATCCCGAGTAAATCCTCACACACGTGATTTGTAGATATTTGATTTCATGGAGTGACTTCTGAATTTTATTACAACCAACAGGATCTGGTGAAGCGTTGTGTAAAGATAGGACAGATAAACCATATAATGGCTCTTATGTAGGACACATTTGGGAGTGTGCTCATTGACTGTTGCAAGTCTGAGTCACAAATAACGTCTGTTTGAACAACCACGAACGTGTGCTCGGCTCACTATAAACCACTGAAAAGTGTGCTTTTAATCAGACAGGAAGTGCGCTTAGGCGATCAAACTGCCCTCTAGAGGAAGGGTTTGGCACTCTCAGCCAAGACTGGCTACCACGGTCTACATATCAAAGCTGACACAAGACCCCTCTGCTTCTTTTGAGAGGTTAAAGCTTCTACCAGGCGACTGGAGGCTTGTACCCAATCTGCTACCTGTTTTGGCTCCTAACTCTCATGGCTGGCTTTCTTCCTGCACGCAATGAAGCTGTCGTCCATCGTATTCCTCTGAGAGAGACGGAGGAAAATGGAAAACGGGGGTACATTAGATCATTAGCATTAGATCAGAGTAGCTCTCCTGGACAGAAATAGTAAGAAAGAAATGCAATAAACGGGAATACAGCAAGCACTGTGTATTGAATGAGGATGAGCTGGTACATCTGAGTATAAGGAGATTGACCACAGGGCTTATTTTGGCTCTAGACTCTGTACATAACCTGTGTATTTTCACTGTATGAAACACTGACGTCAGTGTAAACACACTAACACCTTATATTCCATCGATGTGTTGAAATTCAGCAGATTTTGTGGCAGTACTGGTTCACTTAAAACTGCAGCTACACTGCAAAGTTGATGCAGTTGCACAAGTGTCCACATTCAAAATA